CATGCAGCTCATTTGTGCAACAACAATGCAGTCACACACATGCTGCATCACAGTCCTATGCTGGTGCTATTACTCCACAAGCCAGAGGTATGGGGGTAAACTGATGTCAATAATGAGTTGACTTTTTAGAGATAAGTGTTTTCACAGGACACTGACACTACAAACATAACATTATCTTAATGGTGATGCCATTTTCCAAGACAATTGATCTGGTCAATTCCCTATCCTGAAATTAAGTGAAAACATTTTGTTTTGCGGGATCTACTTGTGTATCACTTACAGTGATTCCCATTAATTAACGAGACCGTGGCGGCCTGCCACAGTCTAATTTGTTCCGCCATAGTTTGAAAATAAACCAAAACTATTTTTATACATAATATTACAGACCTCTAAGGTTGTGTTTTGTGGGTGCTGCTCGCACGCTCACACACTTTAGCATCTGACGAGACAACCGCTTTTCTTTAGAGATAATTACGGTAATGTTTACTGTCTGTTTCTGTCACTCGTTTCTGAGAAGGTGATTAAGCTAGCCCCACCTAAATTTGGAGTGCACACGTATTAAAACCTTCATGGTAAATCCATACTGTGTTGCCGTATGAGAGTCCTACCTGAAGAGAGGCTGTGTTCAATTTAGGCGGTAGGAGAACCACATACAACATAATTTATCAAATTGGGTCGGACTTGATGAATTTAGCGCGCGGATACACGTAATGTCTGATTTTCAAAATAAGGTGTCTGTACAGTATGGAAAAGATTACTTGGATTATATTCACAGAAAATATAAAACATATTACATATGTCCATTAAAATTTAAAAAACACCAACAATAAAATGTTAAGCAAATTACATTTTTAATTTTCTATTCTTTGATTTATATTTGCTGGTAAAACATTAAATACATTTGTTGACTTTTGTTGCTGTTCACCATTTATAGCTATACAATAGGTTTATGATTAAATAGATTACTAGAGCACAACATTGTTTACAAGAAGGCAAAGTTCTTCATAGATAGCCTCTTAATTTTGCACCAAATTAATGCATTTAACCTTAAAATGTACAAAATGCTCTTCCGAGACAGGGTCCGAGGCTCACCCACCATAGTCTCTTACAATCCTGTGGGAAACACTGAGTTACACTAACAGTATTGTGAATTTCAACTTGTGTTTTCACATTAAGAGGAATTTCAGCCTTAAGGTTTCAAAATGCATGAGTGGTGATGTAAACAGTATCCTGGCATAAGTGGCCTGTTTAAGATCATCTGAACGTCTCATCAAACATGTTTATGCTCAACATTACAGCTGTGCAAACTTTGTGACTTACAGAAATTTTGGTCCATTTAAACATGGTAGAGGTCATAACATGCATAAACAGTTGAAAAAAGAAAGAAAAAACTCAAAGGCCACACGCTATGATGCATATATTTATTTTCAAATATGCATATTAAATTATCATTTGTTTTTCATTCTTTAGATTCCCATGGCATCTCAAGGTGGATGGCAGTTAGTAAACCAAACATCTTCTGAGCAAGGAATACTTCAAATATTTCAGTGCAAAACAGCTAAAGCAAAGTTAATTAAAATAAGACACCCCCCCACCCCCAAATATTAAAAAAAGAAAATAATTTTTAAAAGCAAGTAGGTAACACAAATAAATAAAACAGAATGGATTTTAAGAGGAGAAACCCTTTTTGTGTAGGTTCCCTTGTTTTTCAGTAAAGAATCAACTTACAAACTTCCACCTCATATACATTTATGAATATCAACATTGTGTATAGTGTAATATAATCTTGTTACAATTTCTACAAGATGTCCATATTAATTAAGTGTTAATAGTTACACGAAGTGAATTTCTGCCCATTTGAAGTTAAGAATTACTCAAGGTTTCTGCGTATCATCCATGTCAAAATTACTTTTTTTCCTGACAATAATATGTTGGCTAGTATTCTAAAGATTACACACCTTATTGTCCACTATACACATGAACCGTGAGTACCATATGTTTGACCTCGTGCAAGCAGAGGCAGGCTCACACTGGTTTGTTGTGTAGTGTAGTCAGTGTGTACATGATCGCTCTCTTCTCCACAATCACCTCAGTCACTGTGAGTGGGATCGAACACTGGTTGAAACACACAGACACGATGACACATCATCTCATTCACCCCTCATTTTCATTATATATACTCTCCATCCTCCGTTCAGTTTAGTTTACCTACAGCGCATCAAGCTCATCCTACTCTATCGAGGGAGAATTCACTTAAATAAAATAAAATAACTCCCACTGGTCCATCTCTTTTCTTGACCATGCACATTTATCTCATTACTTTGTTTTCTTAAACCGACATTTCAAAACTTTCTACGCCATCATTAACAAATCTTTCTTGTTAAATGTCTCCTGATTTTAAGCCATCCTCATTCTGCTTTTAACACTGGTCCTTTGATTCCCCCCTACAGCTTCCCGTACCTGACTCTCTACATGACATCTACGCTTAACTTGTATAACTCCCACTAGCTACACCTCTATTGCATGTATTTCTTAGTTTTCTTCTCAGTGTCCTGTACTATTTCAACAAACCACAACTTTGTACATCTGTACCAAATAGTCATCCTAACACACAGGCAATATTTACACACACTCTCATCAGAACAAGCACACACAACAAATTAATGGACCGTTTTATACATCAAAACGTCAATAATGGAGGGCAATGTAACTGTCAACTTCAGAGACCCAGGCGGGACATGTAGGAGGGGTCCTTCTGGCCGTTTGTCACAGAGTGTCACAGTTTTGTTGTGTTGTTTACTGGGTCCCCCTCGTTTTGGCAGGTTTGGGAGTTAGCAGGCAGGGATTCAGGCAATGGGTCACTTTGGTAAAACTGATGAGGGACACCGTTTCATTTTTGACAGTGGGGTCATAATGTGAACAGATGAAGCCAGAGTGGGAGCGAGAAGAAAGCCACTTGATGCAAAGGAGGTTCAACAATTTAGAGGATGAACAGTGATTTCATCCAGAAAAGCAAAAACAGTATTTCAGAGTTTCACAAGAGCCGAGTGTGACGTCCACGTCTCTAGCCTTGACTGTTTATGGACCCGCAATTTGGCCCTTGTTCTTGTTTAAACTCCGTCTACTCCTCCGTGGCCCTCTGTCAGCAGTCAGAGACTTCAGAGGTGTTGGAGTCACTGGTGAGTTTCCGGCGTTGTCTCACAGATTTCTCCTCATCCTACAGAGTAGAACAGAGCGTCGTTTTCACCTGGTCAGTGCAGCTAAAGGTTGCTTAGAGGAACTCTAGCTCTGTTCCTCTAGTGCAGTGATGCTCAAGCTTTTTCTGTCACGCCCCCCTTCAGAAGCCAAAAAAGGTTTATGTCCCCCCACCCCAGCAAAAGTGGATTTAATAATAATAATAATTTATTTTTAATCAATCATTTAGGTTATCAAAATAGCCTTCTAGCATCAGAGCACTTTATGTCACCACAAGAAACAAATAAAAGCAACTTTAGGTCCGCTCAACATCCACAACCCCCCTGAAGAGGCACTTCGCTCCCCCAGGGGGGCCCGCCCCCAGATTTGAGAACCCCTGCTCTAGTGTCACCCTTCAAGTGCCAGAATGTCTTTGCACACAAGATATTAAAGATATAACTTGTACTTATACTCTTTTGCTCACAATTCTTCTTTTATTCTACATGGAAATGTAATAACTCTTTTTATACTGGTCTGATACCAGCGCTCCCAGTTCCCCAAATTTTAATTCTGTGAAGTTCAATGGATAAAACTCATTGGAATGCCGTCGCACTAAAAATGAATCTGTGGTCCGCTGTGAGAGAATGAATGTAACTGATAGGACAACTACATTTTATAATGACACAGAAGGAAAAACTGTATTTAATATGGTTTGGTCACGTCATGTTTTCTGTTTTTGTGTGCGCTTACTGTCTGAAAAACTCCATTCTGGCCCCACTCTCCAGGGGAGTGGTCCTCAGGGTCCTCTGCGTCCTCCTCCTCTTCCTCCCCCTCCTCCTCCTCTCTCACTGTGTCCATCCCGTCTTCCTCGTACTCTGTCAGACAGTCCGACTCCTCTGTTGAACAGAAAGATTTAGAGGCAATATTACAGAGAGAATTTATTGTGTGACTGAACCACCAGGTTTAGATAGCACCCATAAAATATCAGGGACATCTGCTACTGTATTTCCAGACCAGGTGAAAGCTAACCCTTATTTATTACACAGATTAAATCTGACGCAATCCTGAGGGGGAACTGTACATCTAGAGCGTCTGCTGCAACAAGGACTTTAAAACACAATGTTTTTAAGCTGTTTAAAAAATGTTAACCACTATAAAAAAGGAATTACACTGGAGGAGGAAGCATTCAGATATTTTACTTAAAAGGTCGTTCCAGTATTGTTATCATTATTACCATTAAAACGTTTTGGAATCAGTGCAGTAGATGGCTTCAGCCGACAGCTGCATAATCATCGGTGCCCCATCAAAATTACGTCCACAAAAAGTGCTCCTGTTGGCCACCGACAGGCTCAGACTCTTATACCAGGTGTCTAACAATATCATGGGAAGGATCCATACGAGTGACTCCGGGTGACAGAAGTCACTCATGGACAACTCTGAAATCTTGTGAGAGTTGAAGACAACGGTGGAAACGAGTCACAGTTTGAGAGAGGAGTTTGTTGTTTTGGGTTAATGTTAGAAAATAAAGTCTTGCTAGCAGCTCCTCTGTGAACACAACAAACTCCTCTCTCTCGTTATCACTGGGACATGACGTAAGAGCTGTTATTTCTTCACATTCTGTTAACGTTGGTTGATTTTTTGAATGCTTTATTGGATGAACTAAAATTCTGGCCAAATCTTACACATTGTACCTTTGAAGGACTAAAAGTAGTTGATGCAGAAATATGATATAATATCATTATATATTACTGATTATTAGATGGTCGAGGTGAAGCTCATTGTTAACTATTTTGTATCGGACTGAAAGTAATGATTATAATCTTGATGGATTAATCTGCTGATTATTTTCTCTATTAATCAATTGATTGATTGGTTTGTAAATATTCTAAAAATAGGGAGAAATGGTGTCACAATTACCCAGAGCCCAAAGTGACATCTTTACAGTGCTCGTACCAGTAGTCCTACCAGTAGTACAAAATTCTAAATGATTAAAATTTATTAAAATAATTAAAAATAAATGCAGCTAATCCTCACATTTCTGAAGCTAAACAATGACTTAAACCTTAAAAGAAAGGACAAGTCAAGTACAGTACTTGAGTATATGTACTTAGTTACGTTCCACAGCTGAGGAATTATTTCAAGACAAAAATGAATTGGCAGGAGATCCTTCACCTTCTGCAGCTACGTAGGTTTGGACCGGCTCTATCCTGGATACAATCTCTGCAAGGTCAGTGAAGTCAGCTGCTGGACACGTGCAGGACTACGAGACAAGAAACTATTATTATTTACTTTGATGGTGAAAATGTAGGTCGTTACACATCAAGTACATTACATATGATTTATGGCATGTGTGTATGCGAGTGTGTGTGTATGTGCTCTTCTCACGTCAGTTCTCTTGCTGTTGTTGTAGTCGGCTGAGCGGTGGTCCTTCAGCATGTTTTGGATAATGTCACCTCGAGCCCAGCCAGTAAACACCAACTTGCCGTGCTGGAAGCCCACATCCTGAAGTAGTTGAAATAGAAAAACAAGGTACTTTAAATATAGTAAGTAGAAGTGAGGACATGTTTTGAAACTCTGTAACTCTGAACTGATTTATTTAGTTTATTTGGTAAAATGACATCCATGTTAAAATGTGAAGCTTGTGGCATTTTAACATTTACAGTATAAATCATGATAAAATCATAATGATAGTCTTTTTTGGTAATCATCAAATCAGGCAAACAAAACAATCGTCAAGAGGGAAGACAGCAGCAAAACTGTATTTCAGATAAGTGTGCTGCTGGGTTGGATTTTGTGAATAGGAGCTGGATTATTCTACAGTCCCCTCCAAAAGTATTGGAACGGTAAGGCAAATTCCTTTGTTGTTCACTGAAGACATTTGGGTTTAACATCAAAAGATGAGTATGAGACAAGAGTTCAGAATTTCAGCTTTTATTTCCTGGTATTCACATCTAGATGTGTTAAACAACTTAGGACATATCACCGTTTATATTAGACCACAGCATTCTTAGGTGAGCAAAAGTCAAGGAACAAATAATCTTAAAGTAAATAACATTTAATATTTGGTGGCATAACCCTTGCTTGCAATAACTGCCTCAATCCTGTGACCCATCGACATCACCAAACTGTTGCATTTTTTCATTTGTGATGCTATTCCAGGCTTTTACCACAGCTTCTTTCACTTCTTGTTTGTTTCGGGGTGTTTCTCCCTTCAGTCTCCTCTTAAGGAGGTGTAATGCATGCTCTATTGGGTTAAGGTCAGGTGATTGACTTGGCCAGTCTAAAACCTTCCACTTTTTCCCTCTGTACTTCTTTGCAAATTTCAACCTGGCCTTAATTACTCATTCTTACTGCTGGTTTGCATCTTGTGGTGTGGCCTCTATATTTCTTCTCTCTTCCAACAGTGCACTGTGATACCTTCACCCCTGCTCTGTGGAGGTCGTTGGTGATGTCACTTACTGATGTTTTGGGGGTTTTCTTCACAGCTCTCACGATATTTCTGTCATCAACTACTGCTCTTTTCCTTGGCCGACCTGTTCGACGTCTGTTGCTCAGTACACCAGTAGTTTCTTTCTTTTTCAGGACGTTGCTAATTGTTGTGCTTGCTACGCCCAATGTTTGTCCAATGGCTCTGGATGATTTTCCTTCTTTTCTCAGCTTGACAATGGCTTGCTTTTCTCCCATAGACAGCTCTCTGGTCTTCATGTTGGTTTATCCTCTTTAACAGTAAATGCAGTCTTTATAGGTTTGAACCAAGGATGAAAACTTAGACTAGTCATGCAGAGCTATTTAATGTTTGGACAATCAACCTAAAAGGCAACACCTGGGCAACAAGAAACATCTGTCAGTCACATGTTCCAATAGCTTTGCTCACAATGGGTGGGTTCAACAAAAGGGTGGTATGTCCTGAGTTGTTTAACACATCTAGATGTGAATACCACGAAATGAGAGCTGATATTCTGAACTCTTGTCTCATACTCATCTTTTGATCTTAAACCCAAATTTCTTCAGTGAACAACAAAAAGAAAGGAATTTGCCTTACCGTTCCAATACTTTTGGAAAGGACTGTATGAACAGGAAAAAGGAAGTGCAACAGGAGCACAGCTGCTCTGCAGCTAAAGTTGAAGGTGGAAAGAGTTAATGCATATTCCCTCTTCTTCTTACCAGACATTCACACCTTAAACAGCACTGTGTTAAAAGATGCAAGACAGGTAGTTTCAGTCTCGATGATCTCGATGACAGTAGAAGTATGTGTTGACATTAAAAAATAAATATATCATGAACGTGCGCTTGCATGTATGTGATTGGCCAATGCATCACTTTGCAAGTTGGATTTAGCTGAGTAAAGTTTTTGGGCAGACGATCCTGCCTTTATTTGCCAGAGATATATAGTGCTAAAGTCTGTCATGGCTGTAGCCTTTAAAACAAACGCACATGGAGTGATGCCAGAGAAGCAAAATCTTCTTTGTAGAACGAAGCAATGGGTTCAACACTAACCACGATTAACATAACTAGTATGACAGTGAGGCAGTATTGACTGTGCTCTTATTTGCTTGCTGTAAATAAATCACGGTATCACAATTAACTTGTTTCCAAATGCAAACATTACAAGTAAAATCATAAAAATGAGCAATGATCATGAAGTGACTCACATAGATTTTCGTCGAACTTGCCAAAGTCCATGGTCTTGAAGCGGTCGATGGGTGGTCTGATGTACTCGCAGTATGCACTCTTCTTCACCAGCTCTAATTGCCGCACACAAGACACATAGGCCAACCGAGACTGGATCTCTGCCATGTCTGGCACCTGCGGAAGAAGCAGATGTGGGATGCTACTAGAATTTAATATTTCTCGATCTGCAGACTCAGAAGCTAAATCATCCCTGCTACATACTGACTGGAACTTGCATAAAGTATTCGATATTTTAAGATGATGAGTCAGTAATAGTTACAAATGCCTTGTGCTGCCAACCCGTCATGTACCTTTACTTTCTCTGCCCAGGGATTGATCCGTTTCCACAGCAGCCACCAGCCAGACAGGCAGTCGCCATAGTTACAGAGGTCGGTCTCGTCTTGGCTACCCACGTCAATGGCAATGACTGTTCTGGCACCCATGTTCCTTGCAATGTCCGCTGTTGGACGTGGAACGTGTACACCAGCATTCACACACGCACACAGCCGCACGAGCACAGCATGACAAAATCCAGCAGCAGAGATGTAAGACAATGAATCCTGTGTTATTAAGCTTGTTTCAGGATAATATCTGTTTCCTTAAACCTTTATTAGGAGCCAGTATGTTCAAACAGACTTGCACCACAAAAACATAATTTTTTAAAAAGTTGTCAGAAACACTCTAGAGCATTTATGGCCAATTAGTGACAGAAACACTGCAATAAAAATAAAAATAATAGAGAAATGTATGCTTTCCTAGCCAATGAGCACAGGGCCTGAGGTCATGACCTTTCTCACTGACTTGTTAGTGTTAAAAAGAGCGTTGGGGCAGTGAACATTTTTGTGGTGTTGGGCCCATTCAAAGACAGAACAGGAAGACAAGCCCAAAGCACTGATCCAGTGTGCCAAGAACAACTATAAATACAACTGATGGAGCACAAACACTTCAGGGAGAAGGCAGAATAGCAAAGGTCAGGAATAAGGGATGCTGATTTTATAAGGCTCCCTTCAGTTGGATCAACCTTTGGGCCCAGAAAGCACTATATTTCACAAACCTCTAGAATGAGTGTCGCTTGGGAGATAATGAGACATGATTCCTGTACCAAGAATTACAACAGCTCATTCCAGCTTTGTGAATTATGGCTGTGCTTCATCAGTACAGAGTACATGCTTTATCATAGCTGAACAGACAGACTCAGCAGAGTTTTCATCTGTGCACCATTATGAAAGCTAATGACAGTTTATGTATTCTGTAAACATTACAGGAATGTGTACATTTGGTTCGATGTGTTTCTAAAATGCTTTCAGGTAATGAAGATGTATTGAAATGGTGCGCAGACAAAAAAACATCTCCTCCCATCTACTCAAACAGACTCCACTAATTTTTCTCTGGTTGAAATGGAAGCAAATACTGAAGCTTCAGTAACATGAACAAAAGACAAAGGGCTGGGTGATATGGTTGAAATCATTATCACAATATTAAGAAGGATATTTTCCCATATCAGTTATGAGTTAGGTGAGGCCAAACTCCTCATAGGTAAAACGTGGAAAACAAACTCTGCTAGTTTTAAAATACAATTGCTTGGAGATATTAATTTGGAAAACAGAATGATAACATGATATGACCATATCACCACGGTATTAAAGTCAATAAACGATAATAGTGAATTTTTGCCCAGCCCTACAGAAAAGTGCTCATTATCACGAGGGGAACCAGACTTTAATAATATCAAATCAGACTGGTGTCTTCTGACATAAAAAAAAAGAAATCACATTATAGTTTAAACGTCAGAAACTTCAATATTTTTTTTCAGGATACTAGTGATTCCCCATTTTAAGTTGAACACTTTTCTGACACCAGGCTGTTTGATAGACAAATACTATGTTCCCCAATTCAATGTCATATTTCTTAGTTTAATTAAAACCTTGTCATCATATACACTTGAATTAAATCTCAATATAACTCAAAATGCTGACTTTCCCCCCATCTAGTAATACAGAATATTTAAGGGTCTGATAGAGATTGTTTCCTCACTGAGGTTACTCATTTTTTATCATTTACTTTTAATTAGTTTGAATTGATGGTCTGAACTGGCTCAATATTCAGATGGGGAAAAGTCAGCACACTCCTCCACTACCACCTGACTTCCCTCCATCAGCATTAAGAAAAGCCCACGTCTATATACTTACCCAGCCTATAAATAACTTGATTAAAACCCCTCATAATAATGATCCCGTCCCTCACTCCACCTCCCCCCTCCTCTGGGGGACAGGAGTTTGATCACTGAGGATTGTGTGTTGGATGGGGGGAGGGGTGAGGAGAACCACCTCTACTTGCCTGGCAGATTGTTGATGTAGCCACCGTCCATTAGCAAGTTGCCATCTTTGGGGTCGCAGAGAGGCGGCAGATACCCCGAGAGGGTCATGC